GGAGAGCCGGTGGACGACGAAGGTGAGGATGAGGAGTCCGCCTCGTCTTCAAAAGGTGAGGACGCAGGTGCGTCCCGAGTGGTGGACGGGGTGTCCACTTCTGCTGTTATTCCGTGCCCGAGACCGGTGTCTGCCGTGAAGGGAGCAGAGAAGCCGAAGAGAGTAAGGAGGCCGAAGAGTGGGCCAGGCGTCTCCTACCTGGATCTCACAAATATTTACCTGATCAAGCCGGAGAGCAGCGCGGCTGACTACTTAGTTGCCCAGATGTACGTGGGGCCGTTCGGGAGGGTTAGGGCACCCAGGCCGACGGACCATGTACTCAATCCGCCACCGGGGTACTTCGGAGTATACCCGATGAGTTTCGCCAAGGGGCTGAGGTTTCCCCTTCATCCCTTCATCACTGAATATCTAGACATGGTGGGGCTCCCTCCGGCCTTGCTGACCCCGAACAGCTACTCGTTGATGGTGGGGTTCTTGCTCCGCTGTGAGGAGTTGGGCTACAGGCCGACGACGGCTCTGTTCATGAATCTTTATCAGATTGGCCGAGGAAGCCACAAAAACTGTGCGGCCTATGCTACTCTCCAACAGCTGCCGAAGAAGAGGAGCTTCACAGACTTGCCTTCGTCCATCCATGGATGGAAGAGCAAGTTCGTTTTTGTATCCCTTGGTGAGAACGGCACTAAATTTCCCTCTCTCGGCCACACCGGGAGGTTCAATCTGCACGACCCGCCGAGGAGTTCGATCTTGGACGCTCAGGTGGAGGCGTTCTTGGAGGGGGGGCCGATGAGCGTGAAAGACTACATCATCGAGTATAAGATGACCGCCCTCGGCTTCTTTAGGTATTATGTGTATGGTGATAAGGAGGACGATGTCCAACTGTGGCCGAGGATGACCACTACATTTGAGGAGGCCGACGGCCCGGATTTGGGCATTCCTGCTGAGGCCGATGGTAATACTTCCTCCGGCTTACTTCCTTTGTTTTTTTTTTGTTCTTTTGCCTTGCTAACCTGTTCATTTTCCTTTGTAGATTTTGTGATGGATCGCCGTTCGATCATGGCCATAGCCAAGGCTAAGGCGGCCGAGGAGCTGGCTACGAAGGCGGCCGAGGCGGCGAGGCGTGCCGCGGCCGAGGGGGGCGGGGCTACTGCTGGTGCGGCCCCGAAGCCTGCCCAGTCCAAGAAGAAGAGGCCTCCCACTGACGGCCAGAAGAAATTGACCGAGGCTGGCCTGAATCTCGCTAAGAAGACGAAGAGGGCACCGTCTCCTTCCCATGCCGATGAGGTCGGCACTCTGACCGTCCCAAATGTGGACGATGGTGGTCCCGTTGTGGATCTTACCGCTGCTCCAAGCGACACTGCCCAATCGCTCCCTCTCGTCCAGGAGCCACGGACGAAGCGGGCCGGTAAGGAGATCGCCGCTGCCACCTACCAGAAAATGGTGGAGTACCCCGTCGGCGGGGGTGTCTTTGACGATGGCGTCCTCGGCCATGATGTGCTGGCCCAGGCCATGCCGGCCAAAGATCGGGCCTACCTCAAGAGGCTCGGGGACGTCAAGGTGTACGAAGGCGGGATGGACCTCATCGTCCAAGTAAGTTCCCTTCCCTTTTATTTGATGTTTTTCTCGTCGTCCGGCTGAAGTCATTGCCTGAGTCTTTGTTTGCCTTTGTTGTGCAGGGTGCCTTCATGCTCATGGAGAGCCACAAAAGGCAGCAGCGGGAGATTGCTCGGCTGAAGGAGCTCGAGCAAAAGGCTGCCTCGGCCGATGAGGCGGTGGCCTGCTTGGATCGGCTCTGCAAAAGAGGGTCGATGAGGCAGCTGCAGCCAGGGACGATGCCCTGGCCAAACTTGAGGAGAGCCAGAGGGCGCTTGAGGCTGAACGGCGCAAAAATGATGAAGCCGTGAAGGCCAAAATTGAGGCCGAGGCTGCCGCTGTGAAGGCCGCTGATGAGGCCGTTCAAAAGTTCATGGCCGAGGGATGGAAGGCCGACGAGCGGCTCCCCTGGTGCTACGAAGTGGTGGCCGCCATGCTCGAAGATTGGGGAATGAACTCCCCCGCCGGCCAAGAGTACTTTGGAAGGGAGATGGCCGTGTACTACAACATGGATCAGGAACGGATGCAGAGGCTCCTGTGCCGGCGGCTGGCGCGTGCCCTTAAAGCAATGAATTATACCTCCGGGTGGGCGAGGCGGAACCTGAGGCTGCCCAAGCTGATGAAGGATCCCGAGGAGCAGGCCAAGCTTCCGCTTTCGGAGAGGGAGGCCCCAATCGAGAGTTCCGGCCTCGGCGAGCCGGACTATGACGAGTTTGATTTCCTGGATGATGCCACCAGTTCTGCAGCTGCCGCCGACCAGGAGACTGAGGCCGAGGAGGGAACCGAAGATGCCGGAGAACAAACCCAGGCTGGGCATGATGGAGGCGCCCAAGAGACTTGATTGGCTACTCCCCGTTCCCTATCTTGTAATTAATTATCTTTTATTTCTGCCCATGTGATGTAATGGCCGAAGCGCCCACCAATGTACTTAACTGTTTATGAATGAACGTTTTGCTGTCCTGCTCGGCTTTGAATGTCTTGTATGTTTATTCCCTTTTGCTATTTCAATTTTGAAATTTGTCTAAGTGTTAAGTTACAACTTAGGTCACCCGCGAGTGTTTGCTACGTCCGTGAGGTAGGCCATTCAGTCTGGTGGCCTTGTCGGCCTGTCCGGTGTTTCTTCGCTGTCGTAACACTTGGGATTTATTCAAAAATTTCCTAAGTGTTTTAGATCCACTTAGGTGCGTCTTGGCATTGTCCCATTCTTCTTTTTGTTGGAATTTTTCTAAGTGTCCAACTTCAGGTAGGTGGGTGTTCTCATCGTCCTGGTATTCAATCTCTCCTCAGTGTTGACAAATGCTTTGGGAAATTCCCTAAGTGTTGAACCGACGTCGTTGTTGTCGGCCCAGTGTTTTTCGTGGCCGTTGTGTTCCCTTGTTCCTGATCTGATCAGGGACGTCGGCCTGGATCCTTGTGTTGTGGCCGATAAGGGTACCTTGAACTTAGTTTTTTGAACATAGAAATTTTTCTAAGTACACATGCAAGACACAGGTAGCTAACGGCCTGCGAGTATACAGGTGCCCGCTTCGTCTAGAGTTTCTTCATTTGAATACTTAGAAATTTTTCTAAGTATAAATGCAAGACATAGTTCCTTCTTTGTGGTACCGTTGTCGGCTAAGAGATGGCCCTACCTTCATCGGCCAAGGTCTGGCTTTGTGGCCGATGAGGGTGCCTTTTGCCTTCCCCAAGAGTTTCTCTAAGTGTCGGAATTCTCTTAAGGAACCTTTTTTCTCAGGAATTTTCTCTAAGTGTTTGGTAAACACTTGGACAAATCTTCCGCTTGGCCAACAGCCTGGGTTTCAGTGCCTGTAACGGCCATCCGGAATGCTGTGGCCGGTAGGGATTGTTGTTTGAATGCTTAATTCTTCCGCGAGTGTGATACTGCCCGCTTTGTCCTAGTCATCCTCAGGATTGATATTCTTTATTTCATAGTTATGTCATTCTCATATTATAAAAGTGACATTTTTGTGAATAAATAAAATTCAAATCCAAAAAAATTCAAATCAATAAATAGAATTTAAAAAGGTAGTAGATGAATAGAAAAAACAGAAAACAGAGTGCAGGAGGGGGAAGAAGAAGAAGAAGAAAGAAGAAAGAAGAAGAAGAGAAGAAGAAAAGAAAAGAAGAGAAGATGGAGAAATTACCTGGATGTCACCGGAGAATCGAGCAAGCGGACGCCATATATGTAATCGATGCCTTCTTTCTAGAGAGCTCTGGAGCCGCGGAAGAGAAGGAGCGGAAGAGGAGACAACAAATTTAGGGATTTAATAGACTAGGGGTAGAATGGTAATATGGAGTCTTATTTAGGACAATTTTTTCAAGACTAAACTAGAAGAAGAAAACAAAAGTGAAATCTGACACGTGGACCGATCATGCAAACTTACTAACCTGCTAACGGTTGGTAGCAGGTTAAAGTACTTAATTGACTGTTTTTTAAAGTTCGTGGATCGAATTGAGTGTTCTTTTAGTTTGAGGGCTTAATAAACTTTTTTGATATACTACGAGGGCTTATTTGATAGTTTTCCCTAATTAAATTTGTAAATTTAATTAATGTTATGGTGTAATAAAAATGATTGAATCATAACACGATAAAGAAAAAAGAGGAGAATATTAGAGAAAACGACGCTAAAGAAGTCAAATTTTGAATGTATCCTCAAGATGAGAACTCAGAGAAGAATGATTTAGCTATAAAAAATGAAACGATTTAGAATAATAACATCGTTGGAGGGGGATTTAGGAGTTGATAATAATAGAGTTAATTCCTTAAATGAAAATAAAACGTTAGTAAAGTGCACAAATAGGAACACCATTGTTTCCTTTCTAAAAAAGGACCATCAATACAATAATATTATTGATCTAGACAGAAGTGGATTTGACATTTTTTTATAAATGTCTTGAAATATTATTATTATTATTATTATTATTATTATGATTATTATTATGATTATTATTATTATTATTATTATTGTTATTATTGTTATTATTGTTATGGTTGTGTTTGTAGCGGTGATTGTGGTTGTTGTGGTGGTGGTCACAGGGCTCTCGCCCATAGATTAGTCGACACATGTGGTGCATATAATGCACCACCTTATTTATTACTACTATTAATACCCCTTGTGGGTAGTTGCAGAGGGTTATACTCTCATTAATACATTGCACTTTCTCTCTATAAACTTTAGCTCTACTTTCTTTGTAAATGTCAGTAGCGGTTTACCAAGAAGCTATTAGATTGTCATATCCAAGATAGGACTGTCATATTTTATTCCTTAAATATGAGTAATTACAGTCATGTTTTGGTAATACCAGGGTTTGAATGTGACATTATTTTTCAAATTTGACAGTAATTATTGCTATTTTGGAATTCCAAAATGTTTTTACTTATTATATCTATGAGTTTTTCCTTGTTTAACGTGAAATCTTAGATCCTTGTTGAGCCTTAATGTTATATCCCACCCAACATTCAATGGGGCTTCGAGAGCACAATCCATTGTTGCAAAAGATAGTGACATCGGTTGCTTGAAAAGTAAAACAATGAAGGCACGATTGTCCTTTGTAGGAGATAGATGCTCGCCGAAGCTAAGGTTTGTTGTGATTGTCGTCATCTATATATATATGCTCAGCTTCCCTGTGTTGTATGTATGAGTTGGTTTTCTCTACAATTTTAAATAAAAGCTACCATTCGACTTCCGTTGTAGCTAGGTCTGATACATGACATGTTCAAGGAGTTAATTGAATGTTACCCCAGATCCATCCTATCATAGAAGAAAATTCCAGGGAAAAGTTGACAGGGTTTCCTGGCCGGATTCAATTTTAGTTTTAAAATAAATTTCGGACTTTCAATTTGGGAAGTGACAAGTATAAGGAAACAATGATAATCAAGACAAGTTGTTGGGTCCTAACACCCAAAGCTAATTATATATGTTCGTCTAGCTTCAAGCACATGATCGAACCCCATTCCGTCTTTTCATGTCAAGATTTCTACCCCTCTGTACCTACACAACACACACGTACTCTGCCGCCCGCACTTATATTAGAACCCCCATTAGGCCAGGAGACAATTACGATACATATCACTTCCTCCATGAACATTCTATTCTAGACCTCGGGCAAATCCAGACCCGTTCTCGAGATTTTTATACACAAGCTAAGCTAAGACTAGACTCTCCCAAAAGTGTCATACAAGTGCTCGTAGAGATGATGAGAGAGATCGAAGGTGTACCATGCCCATCATGCATGTTGAAGCCTCTTCACGTTTCGAACTATATATATTCTACCAAAACAGCTACATGCATGGTCGTCGTCATGTGTACGTTAAAGCTTGTTAATATCTATTGCGGGAGCGGATTCATAAGCTTGCTTAATTATATGCAAAAGCGTGTGAGTTAGTTTAAGAATTAATGTTCAAAAGGTTTTTGATGAAAATGGTGACAGGGTGTTCGGGTCTTGGAACCGGTGCTTATACCGTGGAACCCGTGCATGGCGTCGTGCACCATGCACCCTTTGTTATTTTTTATTTATCCTTTTTTTTTTAAAATTGTTAATAATTTTTTTATTTTTTATCCGATTTTTATAAAATTTATATCATTTTTTTTCATGATCTTTCAAATGAGACTAATATTGTCTAAGTAATTTTAATTTTTTACATTTATACATTTTTTTGTAATATATTTTTATATACATACACTTTTTCTATAATATATTTTTTTATCACTTTTATATGTTTATAGAGGCTAGGTTTTTAAGATATTGAGTTTGCTTATTTTGCTTCTAGCTTGGAGTTACATCATCTTATACTCCAGTTACAAGTTATTATGTGTGAGTTACATCTTGTAATGTGTGAGTTACATCTTGTTATACACGAGTTACATACTTTTATGCGCGAGTTACATGTAATTATGTGTGAATTATATCTAATTATTTGTGATTTTTTACTTATCTTTATCTTGAACTAATTCAATTATAACTGAATTGATTTTTTTCTTTGCTAATTTAATACAAAATTTTATTAATCCACATAAAATAAGTATATTGTATTTCATGTTCATACACTATTTTTCAAATGATAAAAATGAAAGATGTAGCTCGCGTACAATAAGATGTAACTCGCGCAGAAGAAGATATAGCTTCATGATATATTATCAAATGTAACTTCAAAATAATTTGTTAAAATTACATAAGCAATATTGGTCTCATTTGATAGATCATGAAAAATGAAAAAAAAATGATATAAAATTTATAAAAATCGGATATCAAATAAAAAAGTTATTACAATTTTGAACAATAAAAGAAATAAAAAATAATGGAATCAACCACTAAAGCTGCGTCATTTTGCAACCGAGCGCACCATCCTATGAATTGCGTCTTGGAACGCTATGATTTATGGGATGGTAGAAGGTGGAAGGGCAAAAGAAGTAGCTGAGATATTTATAGAGTTGAAGATGGCTGGATTTTGTAGTGATGATATATGGGACTGTGGAAATTTAAGAGACCTGAGTTTGAGTTTGCAATCACATAAATGTGTGGTCCAGGTGAGGGTGGAAGAGAAATATGATATGGTGATGATGGATTCATTCATTGATATGTATGAGTAATGCGAGAGAATTGACCTTTCCCGGCCCATAGAGTGTTTTCACTCATTGATGAATTCATTTCATTGATGAATTATCAACGTACGTGCCTATGACCTGCATCCACATGTGAGGGAGGCCCGGCCGGCCTCAAGTCCTTCTGTTGCATGAGGATCGGAGGCCGGGAATCCAATGGGAAGCCTAATCATTTGACCTTTCTGGGGTTCTTGGTGTTTGTGTGCATGGCGGCCGGGAAGCTTGGTAGAAGGAAATCATGATTACTAGCTTTAGGATGATGAAAAATGAGTATATATAAGATCATCATCATAATGTTACAACATTATATTATGGGTGCATGATTGATTTGTTTGGGCGGGCAAGGCAAAATGATAAAGGGGATGCATGGCAAATGTGGTGATTTGGAGATGCCTTATGGGAGCTTGTGAAAAGCACATGAACATAAAAGTGGAAGAATGAGCAACTAAGCACTTGCAAGCTAAGAGTTGGAACCCTCGGATACGTCATCATACGTGTATGTTGTGTTGTCCAATATTTATGCTAGTAGCGGTCATTGGGAAGAGGTGGAAAGTGTAGAAAAATGTTACATTATTAGAAAAATGTTACATTATTTTTCCTGATTAGATTGATGTACATAATGAGTCGGATAGACTTAGTTAGTTGTAGATAAGCTCATAGTTATCTAGATCCTAATTTTTAGGATCTGTACCAGCTTGTAGTTATCTGTACAAACTGTATTTATACTCTGCCTGAATGGGTCATTCAATCAAGGAAGTTTTATTCCTAAAACTTACATGGTATCAGAGCAGACTGTTTAAACACCACAATAGTGGAAACCGAACAATCTGACTCTTCTCCCCACTCACAAACCCATAACCCTAACTCCCCAAATAGCTCAATGACAAACTACCATGCCTCAGTTCATTCATCTATGCTCATTACTGGCCATAGATTGAATGGCACAAATTATCTCGAATGGTCACAGTCTGTCAAGCTGGCCATTGATGGAAGGGGCAAGCTAGGGTACATAACTTGTGAAATAAAGGAGAAAAAAACTGGTGATGATGGCTACAGTGTCTGGAGGTCAGAAAATTCCTTGGTGACAGCATGGCTTCTAAGTTCAATGGATGCATCAATTGCCAAACCTCACATGTTCATGAAAACTGCAAAGGAGGTATGGAATTCCATTAAGGAAACTTACTCAGATCTTGAGAACTCTTGTCAGATTTTTGAATTAAAAACCAAGTTATGGCAGTCCAAACAAGGCAATAGAGATATCATCTCTTACTATAATGAGATGGTATCCCTATGGCAAGAGTTGGATCAGTGCCATGATGATGAGAAGTGGGAGAGTGCCAAGGATCTAGCAAGACACCAAAAAAGGGAGGAAAATGATAGGGTCTACATGTTCCTAGCAGGAATTAATAGAGATCTAGATGAAGTTAAGGGGAGGATACTTGGAAAAAAACCTCTACCCTCTATCAGGGAGATATTTTTTGAAATCGGGATGGAGGATAGTATGAAGAAGGTTATGTACAACATTCCAGTACATAATGAGGAATCTGGGGACTCTTTAGCAATGGTGGCTAGGAGTGATGACAAGAAAAAATCCTGGTGTGATCATTGCAAGAAATTATGGCACAATAGGGAGACTTGTTGGAAAATTCATGGCAAACCACCAGGGGCAGGAAAGAAAAAAACTGAGAAGGCCCTACAAACAACTGTGACTAAGACTCAACAAGAACCACAAGTCAAGTTCAATCAGCTTTCATTCACTCAGGAGCAGATAGGGCAACTTCTTAACTTCCTTACTTCCCAGAAAACCCAAAATTCCCAGAAAGAATCTAAACCAGAATCTTCCTCTTGTTCTTATGCCCAAAATGGTACCTACTCATCATTTTTTGTTCTGGGAAATCTAAAAATACCTGGATTATTGACTCAGGGGCTACTGATCACATGACTTCTATTTCAAATCTTTTTTGTTCATATAAACCTAGTGCAGGGGATAAAAAGGTTAAGGTTGCAGATGGTTCTCTATCAGCCATTGCAGGGATGGGAAATATTAGTATTTCCTCATCACTGAATCTATCCAAAGTCCTTCATGTCCCTAATCTATCCTGCAATCTTACTTCAGTTAGTCAAATAATTAAAGATCTACAATGTTGTATCATTTTTTATCCTTCTTATTGCATTTTTCAGGACCTGGCATCGGGGAAGATGATTGGCAGTGCTAAGGAGGAGGATGGACTCTATATCTTTGATGGAGAAACTCAATCTAATAAAACTCAATCTAATAAAAGAGGTCCAAGAAATGCTTGTTTGCAAACTGTTTCTTTTTCAAATAATAAAGATTTGTATTTACTTCATTATAGACTAGGACATCCTAGTTTCTATTATTTAAAAAAGATGTTTCCTCAATTATTTCTGAATAAAGATGCTTCTTTGTTTAATTGTGATATGTGTGCACTTGCCAAACATCACAGAAACGCTTATTTACCCCACAGTTATAAACCTACTAGTCCTTTTACCTTGGTACATAGTGACATTTGGGGTCCATCTAGAATACCAACTTTAAAGGGAAAGAGATGGTTTGTAACTATTATTGATGATCATACTCGTGTCACATGGGTATTTTTAATCAAAGAAAAATCTGAAGTTGAGAAAATATTTAGAACATTTTATGATATGGTCCAAACCTAATTCAATACCAAAATTAAAATGGTAAGAAGTGATAATGGCCGTGAATATTTTTCTCAAACTTTAAACAACTTTTTTTTTTACTGAAAAAGGCATTATTCATCAAAGTTCTTGTGTCAATACACCAGCACAAAATGGACACTACAAGAAACTTTGCTTTTAGTGACAGGATATACTGTGGTTAAATGTTGAATTCCTGTCATAGAAAACATTTAGTGACGGGAAATATACCGTCACGAGCCCTCACTACAGCTTCCGCGGTTAAAAGAAATAGTGACGGTAATACATCCTATCATAGATAAGTATATGATGAGAGTAACTATACCCTCATTAAAAATAACTTTTGCTAATGTTAGATCCTCTCATTAGTACTGTGATTTACCCATAATTATAATAATTATACTTGTGCAGTAACAAAATTTATAATTATTATTATATTATAATAATGAAATGAAAATTCAATATGACAAACAATATTCTTATTGATACAACAAATTCAATATGACAAATAACATTCTTATTGATTCAACACAATGGAAGTATAGCATACAATTCAATTAGCCATAGTTTTGTAGATAAAATTAACAGGAATTCATATTGAAATTACATATATCTACTCAAAAAAAAATCCATCCTTGGAGGCTGCAGCCTTACTTTGAGTTCTGCAAGAAGCAACCTACAATGAAAACATAGAAAATAAATTTCTAAGAAACAATGGACAAATATAAAGCAATGATACTTGATTTAGTAATTTTTAAGGTCCATCAATTGAAATGAAAGGTAGAGAAACTTCTAAAAGAACAATACATTCTTCTAAATTGGTTACAAGATTTGACTAGCTTGTAATGATAAAGTGACAACTAATACGTTACTTTGTCAAACTTCAATAGTCAAAATCTATTTAAACCCTTACAGAACTTTAACAACAACCAAATAAATGATCTACACTACAATAAAAAAAACTCACTTACATAGTGCCTGGTAGAGTAAAACTGAAACTTTTGAGCAGTTGAAGTCGTGTGTTAAACCTGCATAGCGAAAACCTGAAGAAGTTAATCAAGTTATGCAAAACTAGTTTTCCTACCAAAAGATCTAAACACCCTGTAAAAGTAGTTTGAGTTTCCTACTAGAATATTGAAGAAGAGTGATAGCATTTGGATATGCAGTAAACTTTTCTGTTCTATTTTTTGAACCGAAACTTTTCTGATCTATTATCACCTGCAATTATATAAGTGAACTTGGAAACATATATATTACATTTATACAAAAGTATAAAAGAGCGAAAAGAAAGGCATACATACTATATCTAGAAGAACTGGAAGTTGCAGGTGATAACATTTTTTCACTTCCAAGATTATAGACAGAGTACACATTCATATAGTAGGACAACATCTATCTAAACCAATCACTGAATTATAGTACTCTCACTACCATCAGTTCTTTAGGCGTGCCTCTTTTCACATCTAGCTTTTAACCTGTTACATTTAAAATGACAAAGTATATTATGCAATGAACTAAAATATTAACAATAACTTTGTAAAGGGAGCAATACCAGTCATATTAAGCTTAAAATACACAATAGCTGAGAGAGTGAGAGAGGGTGAAGTTTGCAATGGGACATTACTTCATGTTCGGCATTTTGTTCTACGGAAATACTTCATCTATAGCTGCACTATTAATATGTCATTAGATTTGTTCAAATTCTTCTCCACAGTAAATGGCAGATAAGTAATTGTTATGCTACCATCAGACCTTGTCAAATTATCATTCTAAATAATGACATGTTTTCGAAGAGCCTACCATGCATTATTAAATAAATCCTCATTTGGTTTTAACTCCTGAAAATCAAACCAAGTTACCAACCAATCAACCACCATGTGTAGCAGTTTGTTTCCTAAAAACTTGAACATAAATTTCACCTTTCCAACTAAATTATGATTTTCATTATGGTACATCTGTGTTCAAGAAAATCACCTTAAGGATGTATACCATGCAAAGAGAAAAGTTAAAGTACTTCTAATTGAATTAGTAAAAGAATATTCAGTCCATAAGGATTAGAAGTTGATACCAGATTACCTGTGCTTTCTGACTCACCTTTGTTGTATCATTTCATAACACTTTTCATCAAACACATTGTGGGCATCATTTGGGGATGAATCAATTTCACCAATCTGCTATAGTCACTACAAGCTTATTGGGTTTCTTCAGCTATTCAGGAGAAGTTGAAGCTTCTGTGTTTAGTGTTTCCATTGAGAAGAATTTAGCAGAAAAGAAAAATAAAAAAACATGTTAAAAATTGTGCTATGAAGAACGATAGATAATGAGCAGTATCCTAAAAAACAATCTTACAGAAAGAGTTAAGAATGACAGGCAATCAAAGAAAATTTCAGACGGCCCTTACTAAATTAATAGACACCATCCAGTCAACAAATTAGAAGATTAGAGATTGAAAATAAAGCTTCTGCGATAATTAACAGTACCCCTTAGCGAAAAATTGAGATTTGATCTCAACAACCTAGTGAAAATCGTAGCAACGAAGAATTAAGTTTTAAATCAATAAGTACTTACCAAAACCACCAGGAAAAGTCAAGAAACACGAGAGAAAACAAACCTGAAAAAATTAAAATCGCAGACCTTTAAACAAAACAATGAACAATACGAACTATGAATGAGTGAAGTCACCTGCTTTGACCAAAACAAACACAGCCTCAGAATACAAGAGAAGTAGTGTATTTTCAGAACGGGAATGGGAGATCTACGCTACTCTTCCAACTACACACGAGAACGGGTGATGAAGTATCTTAGGGTTTACGAGGACGGCCACATACGAAATACGAAGTACTTGGGAATGAAATTTGGGGGAATATTTTCGGTAATACTCTGTTTTTTGGGATCAATAGTGACGGTAATTTTAGACAATATATTAAAGAGTGGAATTTTGTCATAAAAATCATAACTTTTTGTTAGAGTAATTTTCCCCTCACAAAAAGCTACCAAATTGTACATTTAGTGAGGGTATTTTTCACCGGTCATTAATTTTTTGTCACTAAAAGTAGATATTCTTGTAGTGGGAGTTGCAGAAAGGAAAAATAGACATTTGCTTGAAGTCACTCGTGCAATCATGTTTTCAACAAACATTACAAAATATTTGTGGGGAGAAGCAGTGTTACATGCTACTTATTTAATTAATCGCATGTCATCCAAAACTTTAGGATTTAAAAGTCCTATTAGTTCACTACAACACTTCTTTCCTACAAATAGATGGGTAAACACTCTTCCTTTAAAATTTTTTTGTTGCACAATGTTTATAAAAAATCCAGATAGATCTGCAAGTAAGTTTGATCCTAGAGGAAAAAAATGTGTTTTTCTAGGTGTTTATGCCACTCAAAAAGGGTATAAATGTTTTGATCCTACAACCAAAACAATGGTTGTTACTATGAATACTTTTTTTTGTGGAAGCACAACCTTTTTTTTATTCTCATCTTCAGGGAGAGAAATTAAGTGAAGATGTTCCAATAATGCCCACATATTCATGAAAATCTTAATTTTCTTGATATTAATTTGGATGATAATTTCTTTAGAAATATCAGTACACCTGAAAATGATCAAGGAATAAAAAATAATGAAGTAAATCCAACTGAACCAATTGAAAAGGATCAACAGACAAGTCAGTTCTTTGGAAAAACTTATGAGAGAAGGGTTAGAAATCAAAGAATAGAGGAAGTCCAAGAACCTACAACTGTCCATGATTCTGCCTCAATGTCAGGAAGTGAAAAAGGTAATACTTCTAGCAACTTTGACCTTCCTATTGCTCTCAGAAAAGAGAGAAGAACGTGTGTTAAATACCCCATCTCAAACTATGTTTCTTATTCTAAATTGATCTCAGACTTTGCAGCTTTTACCTCCAATATCTCTTCTATTTCTATTCCTCCAACCATACAGGATGCTCTATCTAAACCTGAGTGGAAGAAAGCTGTTTTGGAGGAGATGGAGGCTCTTGAAAAGAACCAGACATGGAAGCTTGTAGAGTTACCTAAAAATAAACCTACAGTTTGTTGCAGGTGGATTTTCACCCCCAAGTTTAAGGCAGATGGAAGTTTGAAGAGGTATAAGGCAAGACTAGTTGCCAAGGGGTACACACAGACCTATGGAATTGATTACAAAGAAACTTTTGCACCAGTTGCAAAGTTGAACACTGTAAGAATTCTTTTATCTCTTGCTGCCAATTTAGACTGGCCAATACAACAACTGGATGTAAAGAACGCTTTTTTAAATGGGAAACTTGAAGAAGAAGTGTACATGGAACCTCCTCCTGGGTTTGAAAATAAGTTTGGGTTAAAAGTTTGCAGATTAGAGAAGGCTTTATATGGACTTAAACAGTCTCCAAGAGCCTGGTTTGACAGATTCACAAAGTTCATAAAGAAGCAAGGATTTAATCAAGCTGAAGCTGACCATACTTTATTCATGAAGTTTTCAGGTAAGGGGGAGATTGCAATATTAATTGTCTATGTAGATGATATTATCCTCACAGGAAATCATCACACAGAGACTAAAAGATTGAAAGACAAACTTGCTCATGAATTTGAGATTAAAGACCTAGAAAATTTAAAAAATTTCCTAGGAATGGAGATAGCTAGATCAAAGAAGGGTATTGTTGTCTCACAAAGGAAATATGTTCTAGATCTTCTACAGGAAACTGGAATGAGTGCCTGCAAACCAGCAGACACTCCAATTGACCCAAGTCAGAAACTGGGAGATATCAAGGAAAGAAATCCAGTTGATATTCACCAATATCAAAGATTGGTAGGAAAA